ATTCTATGAGGCCAGCATTACCTTGGTTTCAAAACAAAGACAAAGATATTATAAGAAAAGAAAATTTCAGGTCAATATCCCTCATGAATATAGATGAAAAAAATCCTTAGCAATTAGCAAGTCAACTCCAGCAATATAATAAGAAAATAATAAGGAAAATACATCATGCTCAAATGAGGCTTATCCAAGGAATGATGCAAGATTGGTTTAATATTCAAACATCAACATTTTTAACTTACCACATTGTTCAACTGAAAAAAGAAAACCATATGATCATCTCGATAGACTTAGAAAAAAGCATTTGACAAAATTCAACATCCATTTATGATAAAATTTCTCAGCAAACTAGGAACAGAGGTGAATTGCCTCAATCTGATAAAGAATACTTAGGGCTGGCCCGTGGCTCACTCGGGAGAGTGTGGTGCTGATAACACCAAGGCCACGGGTTCGGATCCCATATAGGGATAGCCGGTTTGCTCACTGGGTGAGCATGGTGCTGACAATACCAAGTCAAGGGTTAAGATCCCCTTACCAGTCATCTTTAAAAAAAAAAAAAAGAATACTTATAAAAACCGTATAATTAATATCATATTTAATGGTAAAGCCTGACTATTTCCTCCTAAAATCAGGAACAAGAGCCATATTGCCTGCTCTCACTACTTCTATTCAATATTCTACTAGAGGTCCCACTCAGTGAAACAAGGCAAGAAAAAGAATAAAAGACTTCTAAACTGGAAAGGAAGAAGTAAAATTACCTTTATTCACAGACAACATGATCATTTACGTAGAAAACCCAAATGAAACTTAGAAAAAGCTACTAGATAGAACCAAGAAAGGTGTTCAGGAAGGTTAAGAGGTCAATATACACATACCAGTTGTATGTCTAGGTACTAGCGGCAACCAACTAGAAATAGAAATTTAAAATATAGTACCATTTACTATATTATCAAAAACATTGGGCCGGCCCATGGCTCACTTGGGAGAGTGTGGTGCTGATAACACCAAGGCCACAGGTTTGGATCCCTATATAGGGATGGCCGGTTAGTTCACTTGGGAGAGCGTGGTGCTGACAAAACCAAGTCAAGGGTTATGATCCCCTTACCGGTCATCTTTTAAAAACAAAACAAAACAAAACAAAACATGAAATGCTTAGGAATAAATTCAACAAAATATCTGCAAGACCTAAACCCAAATACTCAAAACTACAAAATATTACTTAGAAAATTTTGAGAAAACCTACGTAAATGTAGATATAGTCCATGTTCATAAGTCAGAAGACTCAATATTGTTTATGTCTTAGTTTCCCCTAATTAAAACTATAGATTTGATGAAAGCCCAGTCAAAACTCCAGCAACATTTTTGTAGAAATTGATGAGTTCACTGTAAAACCATGTAAAAAGACAAAGAACCTAGAATAATAAAAACAATTTTTAAAGGAAGCAAGATTAGAGAGCTTTAAGACTTACTATAAAGCTACAGTAATCAATACAGTGTGGTATTGATGTAAGGATAAACATATAAGTCCATGGGACAGAATTAAGAGTCAGGAATTCAGAAACAGTTTACATGTGTGGTTCTATTTCAGGCATTCTCATGAGGTTGCAGTCAAGATGTTGGCTGGGGTCATCTGAATGCTTTACTAGGGCTGGAAGATCTACTCCCAAAATAGCTTACTTACCTCTCTGGCAGGTGGATGCTGGCTGTTGATAGGTGGCTTCAGTTCCTCACCACATAAATCTCTCCATAGAGTGGCCTGACTATCCAGCTGGCTCCCCCCAGGTTGAGTGATCCAAGAAAGCAAGGTGGAAGCCAGTGTTTTCATAACCTAGCATGGTCATTTATACTCCCTGACTTCTGCAAAATTGTATTGGTTGTACATGTCAACCAATGCAACCAATTTCATGGAAGGGGACTACACAGGGGCCTAAATACAGAAGGTATTCATTAGGTACCATCATAAAGTCTAGCTACTGCAGGTAATTTAATGGGAAAATAGAAGTTTATGCAACAAATTGTGCTGGAACAATGGGATATATGTATGCAGGAAAAAAAAAAAACAAAAAACAAACAAACCCCTACCCTCACCTTACACCATATATGGAATTTAATTTGAAATAATTCATAGACCTAAACATATGAGCTAAAACTGTAAAACTTGTAAGGAGAAAATCTGTGCAAACTTGCTTAAGGCAAAAGATTTCTTAGGACCCAGAAATCACAAACTGGAAAAGAAAATAATCATTGGACTTCATCAAAACTAGAACTTTGCTCCTTAAAACACCCATGTTAAGAAAATGAATAAGGGTTGGCCAGTTATTCAGTTCATTAGAGTGCAGTGTTATAACACCAAGATCAAGGGCTCAGATCCCACTACCCATAAACCAACAACAACAACAACAACAAAAACAACTATGAATAAGATAAAGGACCTATATTCTAAATATTTAAAGAACCTTTACAGCTCAAGAATATAAAGCAAATAATCTGACAAAAGTGAATGAAATATTTGAACAGACATTGCACTAAAGAAGGAGCAGTACATGAATTTTAAAAATGAGCACATGTTGGGGCCGGCCTGTGGCTCACTCAGGAGAGTGTGGTGCTGATAACACCAAGGCCATGGGTTCGGATCCCTATATAGGCATGGCCGGTTAGCTCACTTGGGAGAGCGTGGTGCTGACAACACCAAGTCAAGGGTTAGGATCCCCTTACCAGTCATCTTTATGAAAAAAAGAAAGAAAAATAAATAAATAAATAAATAAAATGAGCACGTGAAGGTGCTCAACATAGTGATTAGAGAAATGAAATTTTAAAATAATAAGATACCACTGGATACTCGCCAGAATAAAATTAAAAAGACTGACAATACCAAATGTTGATAAATACGTGGATATGACTGGAGCTTTCATATACCGCTGGTGGGAGTGTAAAATGCTTCAATCACTTTAGAAAACAGTTTGAAAGTCTTATAAAATTAAAAATACACTTTTTAATATGACCCAGCCACTCCATTTCTAGATATGTACCCAAGAGAAATAAAACAATATGTTCACACAGTCTTGTAGAAATATTCATAACAGTTTATCTCAAAATAGCCAAAACTGGGGGGGCGGGGGTGGGGGAGCCAAAACTGGGAAATAGTTTGTGGAGAAGAAAAAGGATGAACAAATTGTAATATCACTCAGCAATAAAAAGGAGTAAACTACTGATCCTTCCAACAATACAGATGATCCTCAACAACATTATGCTAAGTGAAATAAGTCAGACACAGAGTTCATAGTGTACGATTCTATTTATATGAAATTCTAGAAAATACAAATATATAACGTATAGGCAGAAAGCGGTCCAGTGTTTGCCTGGAGCCCAGGTGTGTGGGGCGGGGCGCGGCGGGTGACTGAGAGTGGTCTGGGACCCGCACATAACTTTTGAGGAGACAGAAATGCTCTGTGTATTGACCATGGTAGTGGTGTATAAACTAGTCAAAACTCATCTAAATATCCACTTAAAATGGGTGCATTTTATTGCATGTAAACTATACTGCATAAAACAAACAAACAAACAAACAAAAAAACACAGCCTTACCATTGAACTTCAATTTAAACAATGTCTGCCCCTTTCCTACCTCTCCATTTTCACCCACAGGGTCCTGGACCTCCTGCTTGGAGACTTTCCCGGGTGCCCCAGCATCCCCGGGGGCCCTGCGTTGAGAGGAATCCAAGGTTAACGCCTTTAGCCCGGATGGACTCCAGACCGCGGAGGCAGCGGAGGTGGCGGGGTTCGGTTATATCCGCGGGCCAGGGGGGGGGACGGGGACGGGGTGCGGACCTCGGCGGTCGCCCCTCGCGGGTTTTGGGGGTGGGACACGAGGGGGTGCTGCGCGTCCAGCGGCCTGCGGTCCAGACCACCGAACGCAAAGGCGTCCCCCGCCCCCCAAGCTGCTCCAGCGCCCGCGCACGGCGGCGGGATGGGCCCGGAGGACCCGGAGCGCCGCGCGCACTCGGTGGGGACCCGGCCCTTCGGTCCTCCAGGCCACCGCCCTGCACCCGCGCCTGCACCGAGCGCAGGAACAGCCGCATCCCAGCCTGGATTAACCTGACGGGACGGGCGCGGTGACGCCGTGCACCGCGGGCCACCGGGCACGGGGAGAGGGCACGAACCCGGCGGGCGAGAGCAGCCCCCGGGGAGGGCCAGCGGTAGCCCCGGCCCGGGCTGGAAAAGAGAAGCCTCCTCCAGGCAGGGGGGAGTTGGGGTCGGACCGCGCACCCCACCCCTTACCTCGGGCCACCTGGGGACGCGTCGAGTCCGGCTCACGGGCGTGGGGCTCAGCCCTCAGCCCTCCGCGCTCCGCGGTGGAGTCGCCCAGGGAGCAGAAGCCCGAGCAGGAGCCGCGGGCTCTTCAGGGCCACCTCCCAGGGCCGGACTCTCACTCGGGGCCCACGAGCCTCCCGGGAACCGCCGCGCCCCACTATCGCCCACTGGGGAGCATGTTATGGACACCGCCCGCGAAAGAGGTCTCGCTCTCTCGGGGACGTTGCCCACCCCCAAATCTCCTGCGCGCTCCGCGGCTCCCCAAGGGGCAAGGCGCGACCCCCCCCATCCCGCCGCCGGTCCCTGAGGGTCCTCGGTGGATGCCGCTCGACTGATCAGAGAGAAGGAGAAGAGGGAAGTTTGCACCTGCCCGCTTCTAAGTAAAGCAGAGGGAGAAGAATCCCTGGAGTCACTGTCCAGCCAGGGGGTGGGGGCGAGTGTGCGGGGGCGGTCCTGTGCAGGACCTGGCCTGGGAGAGCTGCCGCCCGCGCTGCTCATCCCAGAGACAAACGTCCGTCCCCAGATCTTGCACACATCCTTCAATCTCCCGATTCCACACACACCCCTGTACCCCACCCCACCCTGGCCCCCACTCCACCTCCCTCTCTCACATCTTCTAATTGACTAATGTCTACAATTGTAACCAATTGCTTCTATGTAAACTTAATTAAAAGATTTTTCTGGAAAGATTATTGACGTTCAATAGGCTTACTAGCAGTTTACTTAACAATCAGCAACGAAAAGCAAACAGCGTTTGCACTTCTCATTGACTGGTCGCGGACTATCCAGCCAGCGCGTGTGCCGGGCCTAACAGGGCCAGGAGAGACCTCCCAAGCTGGGAGCGGCAGAGCGAGCCTCGACCCTCCAGCCTTGAAGACCGTCCCCGGACCTCTCCCAAGGAGAAAAATTGCGCTCGGGCTTGGCTCTGTCATTGGCGAACGCTTAGGTGTGCGGTGGCACGTGGGAGCCGCTCACGTTGCTCCTGCTTTTTTGGTCCGTCAGCTCCGGGAGCTCTGAGGGTCCCAGAGCTGCCCCGACGAGCCCCGAGTCTTCCCGAGCCACCTTTTCAGCGTCCGCTTCTTGAGATGCTCCATCACGTGCCCTCTCCTGGTTTGCCCAGGATCTACCTGGAGGATCTACCAATCTGCGTCTGGGAATCCATGCGCATAAGGAGAAGTTGAGAAACTTGATCCTGCCTCAGAGCGAAAGGAAACTTCCTGGGGGCCAAAGGGCAGGAATTACTTCTGAACGGAGACTCCCTGCCTACCCCAGCAGCCAGTCCTTCCTGGGCAGTGTGGCCTCCTCTATTTCCCGGAGTTCCTGAGCGTCTGGTCCTCCAGAACTGTGACAGTCCATCTCCAAACTCCTCTTACAGCCTTTCCTCACAGTTGGCTAAGATTTGAATGGTGGACCCTAAAAAACATCATTAACCAAAAGCATCAGCAAGTGCTCAGTGTTTGCTTTTGTATGAACACAGCTATAAAAGCGACTCCAGTGGAGGGGTTACAGACCCTGCAGAAGGCAGCCTGTTAGGTTACTGGGTCTCCCGTGTCCTTCAAACAGCCCGTGGGCAGTCACCTGCCTGGTACGTGGGGTCAGCGCTGCCACTCGTGGCTAGGAGAGAAAAAAGCAAGCATCGATTAGGGAATGGAGAGAGAGCCCAGAGCTGGAAAACATCCTCACCTTCCTCCTGTCCCTCCCTGCACCCCCTGGCAACCAATGCTTTTGGTTCAAGGGCTTATTTACCTGGAATATTGTCAAAACTTCTAACTGATTTCCCTGTCTGCAGTTTCACCTAGTCATCTGGCCTTTTAGCCCTGTCTGTAAGGTGGCAATCTATCCCTGCCCTTGCCTGTTGGGAGCCTGTAGCCGCACACCCCTTCTTGTGTGCCTATGGCCCTGCACCTGTTCCTGTGCGACCAAGCCCACGTGACAATCTGCTTGTGCCAGATGTCTGTGCTTACGGGATATCTGCCTCATAATCTGTTTGTGCCTGGAGCACTGTGTTCCTGGCTATGCAAGTTTACTCAAGAGTGACCTTTCATTTCTTTTCAAGTTTCTGCTTTCTTGTAAAGATTGGGGGCTTCTTTGCATCAGAGATTTTCTGACTTTGTTTCTTCTCAAGATCTTATCGTATTCCTGCATTCCTAACTCCTTACAATATGCCTGCTTTTTCCTATATAAGATGTAACCTAAGAATCAATAAACGAGACTTGATGTGCCTGGGACGCTGTGCTCCTGGCTATGCAAGTCTACTCAAGAGTGACCTCTTATCTCCTTTCTAGTTTCTGCTTTCTTGTAAAGATTGGGGGCTTCTTTGCATCAGAGATTTTCTGACTTTGTTTCTTCTCAAGATCTTATCGTATTCCTGCATTCCTAACTCCTTACAATATGCCTGCTTTTTCCTATATAAGATGTAACCTTAGAGCCAATAAACGAGACTTGATCAGAATACTGTCTTGTCTCAATTTCTCGCGTCTCTTGTTCCATCCCATTCCCACTCCCCCCTCCAGGGTCTGGGTTGAATATCCCGCGGGTCGGGACACTTGCCCATAAGCCCTTGCAAGTTTCTCCAAGATAAAAATCTTCAGGATAAAAATCAAATTGCATGGCACCCAGCTTCTTTCTGAGCTCATCCTCAACCAACCTTCAACCTCATCTCTCACCATATCTCCTTACCCCTTATCTTTCAGCCATACATAGCTAAATACCTACTTGAATTCACCTGGAGTTTTCTTTCTTTTTTTTTTTTTTAAAAGATGACCGGTAAGGGGATCTTAACCCTTGACTTGGTGTTGTCAGCACCACGCTCACCCAGTGAGCGAACCGGCCGTCCCTATATGGGATCCGAACCCATGGCCTTGGTGTTATCAGCACCACACTCTCCCGAGTGAGCCACAGGCCGGCCCACACCTGGAGTTTTCTTTGCAAATGCTTTCCCCTCAGCCTTTGCTCTCCTTTCCTCCAATACCCCCGACACCTATCACCTTCCCTAAGCATTAATTGTGAGGTGTTTGGACTCTGGCAGTTCTGTCCCCAAGGAGATTACCAGAACGCAGTCCATGTGTGATAAAACAACATGGGCTTTAGAGCTGAGCAGGCCTGGACTCAAACCCTGGTTCTTCTGCTTGTTGACTGTGTGATCTTTGGCAAATTATTTAACCCCCTAGTCTTAGATTCTTAGTCTGTAAAATGAGAATAGTAATACTTACCTTATGGAATTAATGTGAGGATTTAATGAGACAATTCACATAAAAAATGTCTGCCCCTCAATCCTCACTTACCACATGTTTTTTCCTGGTCCTGGACTTCCAGCCAAGGGACAACTGTTGAAGGTCCTCAGACATTTTTTTCTCCCTGAGCATCTGCATCTGTAAACTGTTGCTAATAACACTTACCTCACAGATTCTTGTGGGGATTAAATGATTCAAGGTATGTGTGACCATTTTATTGAATTACGGTGACTCCGAAGGGCTCAACAGGAAATACTTTTATTCTTTATCACACCTTCACCTTTAACCCCAAAACATGGACTCAGTTTTGTGTTTCTCGATGAAATTTTGGGCAGTTTCTGTATATTTTTCAGTTGCTTTCAGATAATAAATAATCCTGATCACTTTCATGAATGGGAAGAGGGAAGAAAATAATTTGTCAATATTTACATTGTATGTTCATTAATGTAAGGAAAATACTTTTAACGACTACAGTTCTCATTTCTATAATTGGTCATGTGGTCATAGCTGGCATTTTTAACTTCATTCTCTGCTATTCAGTCCATATTTCTTTTGCTTTCAGCAAACACCTCACCTAATATAGTCACTGAAAAATATCTATACTGTAGTATGTTTTTTCCTATACATACCTATGATAAAGTTTAACTTATAAATTAGACACAGTAAAAGATTAGCAACAATATCTAAAAATAAAATAGAACAATTGTAACAATATACTGTAATAAAAGTTATATAACTGTGGTTTCTCTCACTCTCAAAATACTGTATTATTTTCAGACTGTGGTTAACCATGCAGAAGGGGGGCTACTCTATTACATATTTTACTTATGTATAATTAACCTAGGCAGATAAACTCTCTTCTAAACCAACAAGGGCCAAAGCTATGGAACTACAAAGCGAAAGCTTTCTTTAGTGGGTCACTAAGAGTAGCAACGTGAGGAGCCAATCCCATTTTAACCCCTTGATTTTCAGACTCTTGAATCCTGACTATGGGAAAAACAGCATTGCATATGATTCAGGGCACGTACAGCATCCTGGAGGACATTGTCCCAGCCCTGCCCAGTGTTAGCAGTCAGCTGGCATTGTGACTGAATCTACAAAAGATCATTCCACTGTTCTATTAGACCATTTACTCCAGGGTGATCAGGTACATTGTAAGACCTGTGAATTCTATGATCATGAGCCTACTGCCAAATTTTATTTGCTGTAAAACGAGTTCCTTGGTCAGAAGCTATGCTTAGTGGAGTATTATAACAATAAACAAAATATTCTGTAAGTTGCTGGTTTTAGCAACAGCACATGGACAGGGAAGGAAAATCCGTATCCAGAGTAAGAAGTGAGAAGCATTATGTTTTCCATGAAGTAAGTGTTCCAGTTTAATCAACCTTCCACCAAGTGGCTGGCTGTTCACCCCTGGGAATAGTGCCATATTGAGGGTTCAGTGTTGGTCTCTGCTGTTGGCAGGTTGGGTACTCAGCAGTGGCTCTAGCCAGATCAGACACGATGAATGGAAGCCCATGTTACTGAGCCATACATAACTTCTATTCTTGCCACGATGTATATTTTGATCATGAGCCATTGGATAGAAAAAGGAGTAGCTGGAGAAAACAATTCAAGAAAGAATGTGGCATCTTGGTGTCCTGGTTATTAAGATCCTCTTCCACTGAGATTGCACTTTGGTGAGCATTCGCATAAGACATGAATATTTTCACACTTTGTGTCAGTTCATAATGGTTCATTGACACAGCTCTTCCCCAGACTCCCCATCACCATTTTTCCAAACATGTTTCTTCCAATACCCTGAATACCAAGTCAAACCTTTAGTCACAACACACACACACACACACACACACACACACATCTTTTTTCTTTCTTTTTTTTTTTAATAAAGATGACTGGTAAGGGGATCTTAACCCTTGACTTGGTGTTGTCAGCACCACGTTCTCCCAAGTGAGCAAACCGGCCATGCCTATATAGGGATCTGAACCCATGGCCTTGGTGTTATCAGCACCACACTCCCCCAAGTGAGCCACAGGCCAGCCCTACACACACACTTTTTTTTAGTGTACCTCTGTACCTCTGGCTATCTGTACTTCCAGGCAAAATGAGCCATCATGTGTACTGCTCAATGTTCTGCATACTGGGGTGATTTTCCTCTACCACTATCTTTTAGGGTCCCCTCTGAATGAGGCAGTAGTGTATCCTTCAGGCTGTACCTGAAATAATTCAAATCATGCAGAACTAACTCATAACATGCAGAACCATCCATAAACTAGGTCCAGACTTTTTTATTCCTCAGTCAACTGTGAGGCCAAAGGTGTGGGTTGGATGGAGGAGGCAGTTTAGCAGGAAAAGGAGCCATGGGAATCTGAGGCACTTGTTCATGCAACTTGTTTTTGCCTCTAGAACCTGCTAAAGTCTAACCACGTATATGTACCACTTCCACCTGATGGTAGAATACTGCTGTAAAAGTCCATCTTTATGGTTTGTTGCCAAATAACATCCTATTTGTGATGGGAAGCTCAGGTCACAGCTCGCTTGATCCATGGTCAAACATTCAGTCTATAGTAGGGATACCCCAAAAGCTAGAAATTATCTCTCAAAAGGAAAAGTTCTCTCTCAAAATTATCTGAAGAAAATGGCATAGTTTGATTCAAAATCCTAATGGATTGCTTTGTGATTCATCTTTAGAGGCTGCCAAAGGTTCTGTATACTGTCTGTGGCTCCACACAGTGCCAGACACTTCAAGCACCATTGGATCTGACAGTTTGTATGGTCCAAGGGGCAGATAAGTTTGCACAGCAGCCTATACCTACTGCAGAGACTTTTCTCAAAACTGGCAGACATTTGAGTTATCTGATAAATTAATCAAAGCAGCATGTCCAAATGAAGTATATGTTACTTTCAAAATCCAAAGAGGCTCACTAAGCATTGCACTGTTTTCTTAGTGGTAGGAGAAGCCAGAGATAGCAACTTGTTTTTCACCTTGGAAGCAATATTTTAACATGTTTCAGACTACTGGGCCCCAAGAAATTTTACCAGGGTGGCAATCTCCTAAATTTCTTCGGGATTTATTTTCTGTAATCTGTCATGCATGTTTCTTACCAAAGTGTCTAGGGTACTTGCTACATCCTACTCACCAGGTCCATTTAGCATGATATTATCCATGCAATCAATAAAGCCCTGAGAAAGGAGAATGAAAGTGTATTGCTGGCTCTACCAGTTGAAAGTAAACTGCTCCTGTGATCTTTCCTAACCGGTATAAGGAATTTTCTAGGTCAATAGCTGCATACCAGGTGCCAGGGGATGCCTTTGCTCTAGTAAAGAAACCACATGTGGAATAGAAGCTGAAATTGAAGTCATCTTGATTAAGTTTATGGTAATCCAACATCATTCTCCAAGGTCCATTTGTATTTTGCAAGTTGAAATAAGCACATTCAAAGTGGATATGATAGGAATTGCCACTACTACATCCTTCAAGTTCTTATGGTGACACTAATCTCTGCAATCTCTCTAGAAATGAAATTGCTTTGGGCTCACTATTTGGGTAGGTACAGGCCCATTCTAGAGACTTCCACATGTCATTTATAATAGCCCTCACTGCATGGGTCAGTGAACCAATATGAGGTGGTTATGGGAGTGACTCTCCTCACTGCTATCTCTAATGATTCACTAGCAAAATGTACTTCCTGTTCCCAAAGCTTGGACTCTGATGGTTTAGAGGTATTGGGTTCTAAGAGAAGAATGTCTCCACCATGGGACAC